GGGAAGGGGGATGGATTTCCCCAACAAAGATGGTGGGAAGGAAAGCAGAGTGCCAGGTTGCAGCCCAACCCCAGGCCCTCTCCTGGGGGCACTTAGGGGAGAGCTGGAGTTCCCCAGCACTGTTCCTGTAACTATGGGCTGGGCGGGAACTTCTTGTCACCTCCTCCCTGGGGAGTTTGGTCCCCAGGGTTAGGCAGACAGTACAGGAGGAGCCTGAGCTGGAGATGCCACGGAGGACCCAAAGCAGCTCTTCTCCCCATGCAGGGGCTAAGGGTACAGCAGCTGTCTTTCTCCAGTCAAGGCTGAAACCCAAAAGCCATTGTTACCTCCACTGGAGCTGATGCACTCCACAAGAACAGGGATAGGGGCGAGGTACCATCAGTGGGGAGGGGGAGTCAGGGGGACCCAGCTTGAGTTTTTAAGCACCTATTTTCTCCTAGTGCCATTTCCTATGCCTCCCTTTCTCTCCCCTCTCTTCCTGGCTGCACTCTCCCCAGCCCCAGCCTGTCGTGGCACTTCATGCTCAAGACCTTGTTTTGTCTTTCCTCCTCCCACAGTCCCCAGCCCCCAGCTCCGGACCTCTGGGCCCCTCCCCAGCACGTCAGCACCAGTCCCATTGGTGGAGAGCGACTGCCATGACTGTTGGGCTGGGTTGAAGTGAGGGACCCCACGGGTTCTTCCTCTCTCAGTCACTGCTGCTGCTGCTGCTTCCACCTTGCTGCATGCACCATGGAGCCCCCTCATCTCCTCTGCCTCTTTCTTCCCCTCCTCCTCCCTGGGATGTGGGCAGACCCAAAGGGTAAGTGGGAGCCCTGGCTCACCCCAACTGCTCTCACCTCCATGTCAGAGGACCCCACAGGTTCCTCAGGGGAGGCAAAGCCAGGCCACTGTCACCTGCATGGTGGGGGGTGATCCTCAGCATCAAAGGGCCACACTCCACCACACAGCATCCAAAGGTGCCCTCTCCCTGCGCACCCTCTGCTCCTCCCTGCAGCTTGGGACTTCACACTCCACCAGCTCCAGCACAGGGGCTTGGGCACCCAAGCAGAAGTGAGGCCATGGGTTCCCAGCCAGGCTGGGGTATCAGTGTTCCCCCAAAGGTCCGTTTTGCCTTCAGGGAGTTCTTGGGCACAAGGTGGGTCTCAGCCCCACGTGGTGCTGTGGGCCTATTCCAGCAGCCCCTTGTCTGTTGAGGAGCTGCACCTGCAAGAGGATGTTTCAGGCGCCGCCGCTGCACAGAGCATTTCACCACAAACCCATGAGAGCTCACATTTCCGGTGGGGGCAGCAGCAAACATGGAAACACGGGACTGATCTCAGGGCTGGGCTACTCTCCTGCCCCTGTCAGGGTTCGGTCTCCTTGAGCTCCTGACGCCCAGAAGCCCCCAAACATGGACAAAATGCCCTTTCCCCTCCTCCATCCTCCACATCCTTTGCGCTGTGTGCAAGTGTCTGGCAAATACAGGTCCTGGCACAAGTGCTTCTTCTCGGGGAAGCATCACCTGAAATGATGGCCAAGGTGCTGGGCAAGAGGGAGGTGGGGAGGGGAAGGGAGAAGGTGCCTGGAGTCCTGTATAGCTCATTGAAAGTAAAACAGACAAGGAAAAAGTGCAGCAGAGACAGAGGAAGTTCAGACAGGAAAGCAACCCTGAATGGGTAGAAGAGCGTATAATCAGAGACGTTTGTGTTGGAAGGGACATTTAAGGGTCATCTAGTCCAACCCCCCTGCAATGAGCAGAGACATCTTCAACTGTATCAGGTTGCTCAGAGTCCCGCCCAACCTGACCTGGAATGTCTCCAGGAATGGGGCTTCTGCTATCTCTCTGGGCAGCCTTTGACTGTGTTTTACTGCTCTCTTCATAAAAAATTTCTTTCTTATATCTAGCCTGTTTTCCCTCCAGCCCTACCCCCCTCCCTGCCATCTCCTCTTTCCTGCAGCCTTTTCCATCCCCATCCTCTTTCCCGACAGAGACGCAGGTTTTCCAGCTGCTCCAGACCAGCCTCTTCGCCAACTTCAGCTCTGCTGAGGTGTTTGGGGTGGCTCTCTTGGGGGACGTGCCCATCTTCTCACTGGATCCTGCCAATTGGAACATCCACTTCCACTGGCCCTGGGCCCTCCAGGCCACAGCAGAGGGTGATGCGGAGAAGATCAAGTCCCATTCCAAACTCTTTCTGCGCAACCTTGTCCGATATGTGCATGAAATGGCCCATCAGGCACAACTGGACTGTGAGTATGGGGATTACCCCAGCCAGACCCCCAGCCCCTTTTCCATGGTTCTGGCTGTGCCCTCCTCCCCACTGGAGTGACATTTGTGGGGTCTCATAGGGTGCAACAGCTCCTGAAAGGGTAATGGGAAACACTGCGGCTGGCTGGGCACATAGCTAGCAAGGGCAGTGCACTGAAAACACCCCTCAGGTGTTTTCACTCGTGCCATCTGGCACAGGGGAACCACTCTGCACACTGGTGAGCTGCCATCATTTACCATGGCTGCAGGACCCTCACAGCACAGATCAGGGAAAGAAAAATTTGGGGGCAAACGTTTTGGCAGCCAAAATTCTGTTTGAGCAACCACCCCATTCTAACTGGCCCCATATCCACTCTGGCCTTCCAAGGGGACTGAGAGCTTGCAGGGTGTTCCAGGGCTTCCTGAAGCATGACCCCGTGCCCTGCTGCCCTTTGCACTCCACTGCCCTTTGCACTCTGCTGTCCATTGCACCCCGCTGCCCATTACATCCCTGCACATGCCTCCAGCCACATCCCATCTCTTGCCACCCATATTCCACACACTCATGGGACCTCTCCACTGGCTCTGCCCTCGGCAGACCCATTGGTGGTCCAGATCCGTGCAGGCTGTGTGCTGCACCCCAATAGGACAAGCTGGGGCTTCATGGATGTTGGGGAGGGTGGCAGAGACCTCACAGCTTTCGAGATGGAGAGGCAGTGCTGGGAACCCCGGCAGCCATCCCCACTAGCAGCGCTAGTCAGCAAGTCCCTCACCAGCAAGAAGTCCATCACAGGGCTCCTGGAACATCTCCTCTCCATCTCCTGCAAGAGCCACATCCTCACCCTGTGCAGGCATGGGAGGGCTGAGCTGGAGAGACAAGGTGAGATCACCCCAACCCTGCCATAGCCACCACGAAGCCTGCCTCCTCACTGGGACCAAGTGGTGCCCCACCAGGGCTCCCCCAACTTCTTGGCTCTCACCCCCGCCCAGAGCTGCCTGTGGCTACACTCTT